AAATGGAGACTGTGGTTGAGAGAAGAAAGCTTATTATTGTCAATGGCGGAAATGATATTGGTTGATTTCACGGCCTCGTTTGATGTTAGATTTGAGACTATGATGATACTGTTGGCTGAAAGTTGCTTTGACAGTTGCGAATCAGGATACCGCTTAGAGTTGAGGAACTGCACATTATAGTTGTGACAGGGCGGAAACGTGTTGAGAGTTCTGCAGAAAGAGTATTCACTTCAAACTGAAAACAGGAATGTGGTAGTTTTGAACATGATTCATAGTTTAAGGTGATGGGATAGCTGGTGGTGTTTGTGATGTAATGGTGGAAAGAACAAAGGATGTAGAAGCTTGAAAAGAAGGCAAAGGGGTTTGAGGTGGGGATTTGTTTGTGATGAAGAAGATTGGAAAAAAAATTCATGAAGGAAAAGGGTAACAAAGAAATAACAGAGGTATCTCTACCCCCAATTTTTCAATCCCTTCTTCTTATGTTTTTCTTTTTCTGAAACCATTCTCATACCATTTCCACTTTATATTGTTATGCCCATCGTGAAAATCTGAACTCTGTTGTTGATACCTCCTTTTTACAGTGCAGGTTTTGTCTTTGTATTGCAGTGTACGGTTCGACAGCTGATAGCCGGCTTTGTGTTGGTTGAAACTGACAACACATGATGGTTGTTGTCGATTTCTGGTACGGTTTCAACAGAGCTTGTTTGGCGTGGGCAATGTTGCTGCGTTTTTCGTACAAGACATGGAACCTTGTGGGAAAGGAAGTTGTTGTTGTTGTGAAATTTTGTCCTTTTCTGATGAAAGTTAAATAAAAGCTGATGATAAGCTATGACTAATGATACGGTTAATGATATTGATTAAATGAAATCCTAATAACTAATCTATAAAACCTAATTAAATGTTAAATTAAATTTAAAACAAACTAAATTAATTACCAACTACTTCTAAAAAATAAATCCTAATTAATTTAATACTATCTAAATAAATAATAAAAGAAAATAATAATAATCTAATTAATAATTAAAATCTATACTAAAATAAAAATAATATAATCTTAATCTAATAATAAAATAAAAACTATATAATTCTAAAAAATCTATTAAATAAATAAAGGAAAATAAATCTAATAAAATAAAAGTCTAAAAGAAAAATAAAATAAATAATAATAAAAAACCTATTATCTAAACAAGATTTAAATAAAACTGTAAAGCGGAAAGAAAGAATAAAAATCACACAAAGTAGTGAAACAACAACGGAAAGATTGGACGAACACCAAAACACAACCGAAAATACCAGCATAGGCTGAGCCACCAGAAAGAGCAAAATTCACTCGATTCCGAAATAAATCTCTTTTCCTTGAACCGGTTTAAATCGCCTAAAACGCGAGAAAATGGGTTGTGATCCCGATAATTTGTTCTGACCGACAAAATGCACAGCATGCGAGAAATGATATGCAAATGCAAATGAAATGAAACATAAGGCAAATTACTGGAAAAAGTTGGTCAAATTTTGGGGTGCAACAGAGACGACTGAGAAGAACAAGAGGATCCAAGAAAAGATGAATGATTCGCAGGGTTTTCAAAAGGGTTGCCATGATAAGAGGGGAAAACACTTGAATTCTAAGAGGGAGATCACGTGTTTTTGAGAGTTACTCCGGTAACTGGTGTTGGCCGAGCTTTCAAGTCTCGAAAGCTCACACCGTGTATTGTCGGTCTGTATCAGAGTGACGCAGCGGAAGCGTGGTAGAAGGAGCATGTTAGACTGTTTTACCACTGTCGCTTGTGAAATTGTATGATGTGTTTAAGTTGAGGAAGTACATTCCAGATCCGTCGTGTGTGATTCTGATGGATGATGTGCAAGTGAGAGATGATCTTACTGTTGAGGCATTGCTAGTTCAGATTGATGAACGAGAAGCAACTTTGAGGTGAAGAGGTTGCCTTGGTAAAGGTAGTTTTGGAGGGACCAGTTGACGAAAGTTGGATTTGTGAGCGTGAGGATCAGTTGAGGGAGTCGTATCCGACTCTGTTTTCTTGAGGTAACTTTCGAGGACGAAAATTCTTTTAAGTGAGGGAGAGTTGTAACACCCCAAATCTAAGTGGAATATTTTAATTAATTTTATTTAATTAAGAATATTCATTTTTCGATGATTTTTTGTGGTTTTGTGAATTATGGAGAATTTAATGGAATTCGAGTTATTTATTTTGGAATAATAGTATATAATATGAATATATTAATATTATTATTTAAAAAAAATATAAGATGGATAAGGGTAATTTGGGCATGTGAAGATGATTATTATAACGAGTTATGATGACATAACGTATGATGATGACTGTGTTGATGAGCTATGACGTTTGAACATGATGAATATGATGAATGATGATGCACCATATGTTGTTATTATGAGGATTATTATTGACGTGTGCATCATGCATTCATGTGCATCCGAACTTCGGTTCAGGACCTCGATTACTTTGGCTTCAATCCCACTATGTGAATGTGAAGTATTTTGATGTGCTCCGATTCTCAAGTAGAATCGATCCTATTGATGAGGATCTATGGAGGGTTGGTGGCCCAGTGTCCATCAAGCTGTGATGATTGGTACCACATGCATTGAGTTGTGTTGCATTGCATTTCTGAATCTTTTTGTATGAATTATGACGTTGTGGCCTTTGGGGCATATTTGAGTAATATGATTGGGTTGAATATAATTATGAGTAATATGTCGTTTATGCATTAATTGTTATACATTGATTATTGTGAATTGTTTTACTCACCCTGCCTGTTTGAATGTTACCTCCACGAGGGTAACGTGCAGATGACCCAGTTTAGCCGTGAATGCCGACGAGGAGTATTTTGAAGTTTTAGAGTCGTTAGCCCTTACAGTTAACTTAGAGGGTCTTGCTCTGATATGTAACATCGGGTTGCGTTCTTTGAGTTGATTTTATACTAGTGGGTTATTTTACTAACTTTCTCTTATGAGGAAAACCTTGAGTTATGTTTTGAGTTCTGCTGTTTTCTGAAATTTGAATGTATTTTGGGAAAACCCGTGTGTTACGGAGTATTGACTCATTTTGAGACATTGAGAAATGTACGCCCTTTGAGGTGATTTTTATTGAGATTTATTTATTTACTATGATTTCTGTGTGATTTTGCCTTAATAATTTTGGGGTAGAAAAGGGTGTTACAAAGGGGGCCTTTAGCAGCGCTTTTTCCATAAAAAAAAGCGCTGCCTTTACCTTTAGCAGCGCCACTTTAGGCAGCGCTGCTAAAGGCTAAAAAAAGTGCCGCTAAAGGTCTTTTTTGGCATAGTGAGTATTTATAATGGATTAAGAGAAACGTTTAATTTCAGCCACTCTAACAGTTGTTAAAATCGTGGGACATGTGTTGATCGATTACGTATTGATGGGACGGTTGTAGTTGGCATAACCCACTACCTCCTAGGAAATAGGAGTGTGATGATTGAATTTTGGGTTTTTTCACGTCTTGATAAGACTTCTGAAGCGACATGGTCATGATGGTCATTACGTCATAACAATAAAGATGCTATAGTGTCGAAATTCGTCAAAAAATGTCTTATTCTCTATATAGTCGAAAATGATACTTTTGGGAGGCAATTTGTTGGCTGAGATTTCGACACACATAAATGTTGGAAATAAGTCATAGGATTCAAAGATATATTCTAAAGAAGAATATGTTGACTTCGACGAAACATTAATAAGAGCATCTCGACGAAGAATCTTTTTATCAAGGAGGTTGTGGTCTAGGACTTAAAAATATTTTTGGCCTAGACTGGAGTTTGACGAAGTTTACCTGGAGTAGAGTTCGACAAAGGCAATTTAAAATAAGCTTGATAACTGTCTTTTGGCGTTATTAGTTTCTTGAAGGCACGTGGAGAACTTTTAGCAGCAAAATGCATGCAACTCGAAGACCTGACATCTTCTGTAGAGAAGACCGTTGAGTAGCGGTTATTTTCGAGTTATTATAAATAGAACACTTAGTAGTTAGGATAGGGGTGTTCAACCTTGTACAAAAAAACTCTAAATTTACTCAAAGTACCTGTACGTGAGAAACGAACGTTCTTGAGTGAAAATGTACGTGTGAATACCATACTTTGTACTTTTTACCAGATTACTTAAGATTCTTGTCATTTACATTTGGTGTAATTTACTTTAAAGCCAATTTCGACATTTAAGATATTGTCATTTATTTGGAAGCTTTTACTTCTGCATCTCATTAAAGAATTGTAACACTTCTTTAACAACTTTGAAAAACATTGTTGAAATGTTCATAATTAACAAATCCAGAAATTAAATAACAACATATATTCTAGAATCAATCTAATCGATTCTATAAGTAACCAAAGATTTAATAAATTTAGAAGACTAACGTTTGTTTACCAATTTCGACAATAAACACTATACAAAACTTTTTTTTTTTAATCTTATAGTTGAAATTTCATCTATTAAAAGTAAAAAGGAGCAAATTTGAACTTTTGCAATTAAATATTGTTGCAGAACCATCAATTGAGATATCTTAACGAGCTTAGTCCAAATATTATGCATTTGATATACTTTATGTCTAGAATAAATTTATTTCTAAAACATTATTCAAACATAAAATAATCAAAAAAATTAAATTGAAAAAAAATGACATAATTAAAAAATAAAGCAAAAATATAACAACATATTTGACCTTTCTCAATAGTTGAGAATGCCATTTTTATGGCCTGTCTCTGGGTTCAAATGCCATAACTATTTTAGTTTTACATGCAACAATAGTCTCAAGGGTTCAAAACAAAGAAACATCACTTACGTTTCTTTGTTTTTGTTATTGTTCACTGTCTTCAACATAAACCTTAGAAACTCAATGTAATGAATATTTCTCATACTATTTTGCAACAATAGTGCTTTATACTCAATCACTCCAAAAATGTAAAGAAATCCATAATACCTTCTCATTCGATTCTTGATTTCTCTGTCAATTTCCAAATGTCATTACTACTGATTATAAATAAAATCTAAATTGAAATCTTCTTGAACAATCTCTATCCTTAGATCACCAAGAATGGTCCTAAAAGGTTCCCATTTTTCAGCAGTTTCTTCATCACACACCACATGCTTTAATCCCTCAAGTTCCATAACCGATGATGGCAATTCACTTATACTCGAACAACCTCTCATATTCAGATTTTCTAGTTTCTCCAACTCACCTATATTCTCAGGTAATTGACTAAGGCTTATGCATTCAGAGATGTCAAGAAACTTTAGCCTATGAATATTTGTGATTGAATCTGGCAACTTTGATAAACCACTACATGAACTTAACCTTAGTGATTCCAAATTAACCAATTTTCCAATTCCTTCGTTAAGTGCACGAAGCTTATGACAATTTGTAATACTAACCTTCTTTAGGGATACAATGTAAGAAATCACATTTGGCAGTTCCACCATGTCACAGTAATCGAAATTCATCTCCACCAAATTTGGCAAAACTTCTGAATCTTGGATAGTGCAATTCTTAAATGCTTCATTCACATTGCACATAAAGAAAGAACACTTCTGAAGATTCTTCAGTTGCACTATTGTTTTTCCGAGTAAAGGAATCGAGACTTTTTCTAATCTGATTCGTCTTAGACTTGATAGATGGTTGAGAAGCTCGAAATTCTCTAATTCAGCTTGATAGAAGTCATAGTTTGTGATTATTAAAACTTTTAGTTTGTTCATTTTCTTCATGAACATCGGTAGTGTGCACTTCTTTTCTCTAAGGTTTAACACGAAAGCCTCAACTTCAGTTGGTTGCAAGTTACACCATTTCGAAGGGAATGCTTCATCTGCAAAAAGATTCAATAATGAATTACTTTAAAGTACTCTATCAATTCGTAACATTCATAACTTTTTGACAAATTATAAACTAGATTGGATAAAAAACGGAGAGATGGACACTGAGGACTAGTATACAATTATGAGGTAGAGTTAGGCCAGACCCAAATTTTTGGAGTGTGCGTTAAGATTTAAGAGAGAAAGATGAACAAACCAGTTGATATAGATAAAACGCGAGCTGCAATGTGATATTCAGTCTCTGAAGTCCACCACGAGGGAAGATTATTTGCACTTGTATCAATTATGAGTCTATTCCTCTTATCCTCAGGAGCTTGGCTATTATTACAGATGGCTAGGTCACGAAGAAGACCGTGTTGTGTAACATAATGGTAGTTGTAGTCAATTGCGCCCCTTGCAACTTTCCTGATCAATGAAACACAAACCAGTTGTTAATAAATGGCCCAAAGAAAGATCTGTTATGAGTCTAACCTTCGAGTTGACAATGAGACAACCATTATTTAAGAATCATACCTTGTGACAATAATATCAGCTAAGTTGAGGTTAACCAGTTTATAGATTCGCTCTATTGCAGTTGCATCATCATCATTCCTTAGTTCGGCCCACATATCAACAAGGGCAGCGACAGGGATCCTCTGATCTTCAGGGAATAAGCCTAAGTCTCGAAAACAATCCATGGACTTTGGATCCAAAACATCTAAGCTCTTTTGGAGACATGAAAGTACGTCGGTATTAGAATCGAGAATTGTGCCACCAGCTGATAATTCCCTAGCCCTGTTAAGCCAAACTATCTGTTGTTCGTTACTCAACGATCTTCCACTCACTCGAAGCGCTAAGGGAGAACCGCTACAACCTCTTACTATCTGCAACATGTTTTGTGTATAAAACGACTTACATTATATGAAGGAGAATGAAAACTAGTTTTGTTGTTTAACAAGACAATAGAAATCACCTCTTTCACAACATCATCAGGAATATCTGAGTTGCTTTTAGTTAAGGAAGCTGAATGCTTAAACAGGTTTATAGCATTTGCGTCCGAAAGTGGTTTCAAGACGAATGGATGTCCGAATCTTCCAATTGCAAATCTTGATGTCACTAAAATCTTGTAGTTTGGAATCTCAAACACAAACTTGTCCACAAGTGATTCCGATCCTAGCCAAACATCGTCTATGACCAACAATATCGGACCATTTTTCACAATTTGTTTCATCAATTGTGCCAATTGGTTAAACATGTCTTCATCGCTTTGAAAATCGAGAACTTGGTAGCCAGTGTGTTGAAACAGTTTCTGCACTATAGCATTCAGCTTTGGTGTTTTTGCAAATGTAATAAAGAAGATATTATCCTTGAATTTACCTAACCAAAAAATCATACGCTGTTAGTGGTATACAAGTCGCAAACTCAAAGTTCAAAGTATCTACGATATTAAATCATACGCGGTCAGACACACACAACTACCAGATCCTAGATTTAAATCCGAGACAAAATATTCAACTAACAATATCGACATTTATCAGTTGATCTATGCTTATGTAAAGACTCAAATTAACTTATCAACTATCTGTTATCAGCTATCAACTATAGTTAGCTATAGTTATGAGCTATCGACTTTCGACTATTTTTACCAGAGTCTAATACATATAACTTGACAAAGAGAATCAAAATTCAGTAACACAAACATACCTTTTACTTGTTCATCCCAACAAAACTTTTTCACCAATGTAGATTTCCCCGAACCACCGGAACCAGTAACCGTAACAACAGAAACACTAACCCCATCCTTCAACAACCTCATCTTCAACTCATTCAAAGGCCCATCCAACCCAACAGTAAAACCAGGTGGTTGAGGAGGCAAACAAACACCCCTTAATTCAATTCTCTCATTCCTTAACCCAACACTTCTAAACTCAGCATGAAACTCCTTAATCTCCAAAAGTGCTTCCAACCCATTCCTCGCATCTTGAGCTCTCAAATCAAGCTCAAAAAATCTTCTAATCTCACCATCCAACTCTTCAAGCTCTTGTTGATATTCTGCCTTTTTGTAACAACAATTCCACCACTGGATTTTGTCTTGACCACAACATTTGAGCACGAGTTCTTTCCCGTCTTTCATTTGCTTGATTAGTCTCTCTGTTTCTGTAGCCGGTCGATCCAGTTTCTTGTTGAGTTCATCTATTTGAGTGATCAATGGTGCTAATGATTGGAGAGTTTTTTCTAATCTTTCTAGAGTTGATTTGAACTTCAAAGCTCTGTTCTTCATTTCAACAACTGAACTCAAAAGTTCATCCACTACTTTCCCAATAACTGCATCTAGAACCATAGCCATGATCTAATAACAACAACAACAAAAAATCAATGAAACTCAAAATCAATATTAAAAAAACATTGATCTAAAGAAGGTCAAAGAGAGTCAAACATCATGTTTTTTAATTTAAAAACAAATGAAGATATATTTACCACTAAAAAATCAATGTGCTATAAAAAATTCTCTCATCAAATCTTCAGCTGTTTTTGTTCTCGCTGATTGGGGAATACAATAAAAAAATTATTCTTTGATAATTGAGAATATTTTGGGTTTTGTATTTATTTATATAAATATTGTTTCATTTTATTGATAATTTAGTTTCGTGGTCCCTTAATGAAACTGCTAACGTAGAAATTTTCTTTTTCGGTGGATTCAATGTAAAAGAATTTTATTGTTCATTTTGCTTTAGGATGGAATCAACTTTAAGTCAAGACGACTAGAAGGAAAGAACGAGTTATTGTTGAAGAAAATGTCAAAAGAGTCCATCTGTTATGGGACCCGGATTTCTATGGTGGATGGTGGAGGAATTTTCGATAGTTTTATTTGTTGGATTAATTTATTAATTTATTAAATATGTGAGATGTTAGATTGAATTCTAGTATGGTTGAAGGATAGTTTTCAATTCGACAGAAATTAAATATGAGGTCGAAGTATGTTCGCATGCTATTGTCGGAGTAATGCATGTTGTAGTCGAAATTTGTTTTAACATGCATTAGTCAATATTGCTAGAATTATAGTCGAAGAAAATGTCAAAAGAGTCCATTAGTTATGAGACCTAGATTTCTATGGTTGATGGTGGAGGAACTTCGCCTAGTTTTATGTATTGGGTTAATTTATTAATTCATTAAATATGACTCATGTAAAATTAAAGATTGACTTAAATAAAAGATATCTTAATATGATGATTGTTTAGGTTGATGGATAATTAAGTTAATGAAGGTTTTTATTTTGAATTTGAAATTCAAAATTTAAATTTCTCTTCTCTTTTCATGGATGTTGAGACATGTCTTTTGTGATGAAATGTGACTGTTAGAGAAAGAAATCTATAAATAGGGACCTTTAGAAAAACAACAATTTTTCTCATTTTCTCACAAATACACAAAAATATCTTCATTATCAAAAGATACACAAAAGAAAGAAGGAATAGAGAAGAGAATAATTGGAAATAAGACTGAGAACCGGACTAGAATCGGCGTCATGAATCCGATATGTTTTTACCGTTTTTATAGAAATTGAAATAGTGTTAAAATCATGATATCAAAATCCTAAATTTAAAATTTGTCAACATTATGTTCCAATAAATTTGAATCACTCATTTGGAGACCTTAATAAGTTGAGCGAGGTTGTTATTTTCATCCTTATGTGTTCTCCACATATATAAAAAGTTTTAAATGTCTCCGAGGTTTTAAGATATAATTTTAGATGTAACTTTTTCGCACATAATTGAGGCGAAAATGGTGAGAAACCCTTATTTTATTAAAATTTAGTTCGGATATGTATTTTCATATGCACAAAAAGTTACTTCGGTGATGCATCTTTGAAACTCCCCTTAGTTCATTATTATGTGAGTTTTCTGAAGATCCATCTCCGAAATATGCTCAATTATTTCAAATCAGAAACAAAATGAAAAAAAAAACATAAATCAACATCAAAATAAACATTACATAGATAAACAATATATAAATTATGTCATCAAAAACTGGTGGTTCAGAACGTTGCAACATCCTTATAATATTTTTGGTTGATTTTTGAATCGTCACATCGACTTTAATTGAACCCTTTGTTGAATAACGATAAATGGTACTCCACATAACTTTCAAATCATCATCAACCTTCAGCTCAAGCATGGTAAACTGTATCTTCTATTCATTGTCAATCGATGGTGAACGGAACTCGAGCTTGACAACTCTCTGATTTTTAAGGGCATCCTTTGTTTTAACCAATTTCAACAATGGTTTCAAATTATTTGTTTTTGGATAGACAATATTCCTCAGTTGCTCTTTGATGTGCAATTTCATTATGTCAACAGCTTTCATAAATCTCTCTTGCATCACTTCCCACTCGGTTATGACATATATATTTAACGATGTTCCAATCTCGACAAAAATCACATTTATCGGTTTTCAACCAATTCTTCTATCTAGCATGTACATATTCAACTCTATTAGTTGTTGTATTGCCAAAGTGTCAAAATTGATCAATTTATACACACACAATCTTCTCTTTAACCTGATCCAGAATAGTGCCCTCAATTTATTTCAACAAATTTGAATATATCACACACACACACACACACACACACACACACACACACACATGTAACAACCCAAATTTCATTAAATAATTAATTATAGTAATTAATTGATTTAGTGGGGTTTTATTAATGTTGGAATTAATTTTTATTAATTGGTATGGATAGAAAATTAAGAAGGAATTGGAGAGGAAGGAAAATAAAGGAAATATATATAAGAGAGAAAGAAAAGAAAAGAAAGATAGAAAACATTTGGAAAGAAAGGGGAAAGAAGAAGAAAGGAGAGAAAGAGAAGAGAAGAAGAGGAAAAGTGGAAATCATCAAGAACCAACATCAAAGCTCCGATTAATCGAGGTAAGGGTGAGAAATGTTTCTATTTGATCATTGTATGATGTTATGTATGTTGGGTTGGGGTTTTGGTAGAGTTTCCACCACTTTTCATTTAGGGCAAAAGTTGGAATAATCGGTAGATTGATGATTTAATCGGTTGAAACTGAGTAATAATGCCGTAGAATAGTCGGGTAACATGTATTGATGTTGTTTATACTAATTTGGATGTGTAAGAGAGGGTTGATGATGGATTGGTGAAGGAGAAACAGAGTGTGAATCTGTTCTACGCAGGTTCGCTGGCTCTCGCCAGGCGAGCAAAGGCGAAGCCCAGCGAATGTTGGCGAATAATTATAAGTTAAGTCCCAGCGGACTTCGCTGGCGAGTTCGCCAGGCGAAGTTGGATAGCGAGGGTTCGCCCAGCGAAGGTGCTGGCGAATGGTGGCGAATGAAGTCAGTAGCTACTGACTTGGGCTCGCTGGAAAGTCTCGCCAGGCGAAGCCTAGCGAGTGTTCGCTGAGAGAGCTCGCCAGGCGAAGGCCAGGCGAAGGTTCGCTGCGAGGGTTGGCCAGGCGAATGAAGGCGAATGTGACAGCATTTTTCTCTTGCTGTGTTGTTCATGTGGTGATGGTTTGGTTGTTTCCCATAGGTTAATACCTCTATGATATGATATGGATATGATCTATTGTGATAATGTGTGCTGTGGGTAGCCTACGGGCGTGAATCCTAGAATTGTGATTAAAAGGTTAATTGCATCAAGTATAAATACATGTGAAAATAATAAGTGATTATGTGTGTATTATTTAATGAATTTGCGAATGTGTATACAATTATGTAATGAGTATGCATGAGAACATTTTGAATATGTGTGCATAACTTATAATTGTATGATTGGTATTGCGATGTGAATACCTTGATTGTTGTGATAATTAGAGATACATGGGAATACAATGAGGAATGTATGTGTATCGTCTAATGAATTGTGAATGCATATATGTATGCGATTGTTGTGTGAATGCATGGGAACATATGTGATATGTGTGCATTGTTGTTGAATATGATGATGTGTGAAATAAATACATTGATAAATGTTGATATATGTTGTATGTGCAATCATGATGAAATTCTCGAAGGGGTGAATTATTAGAATGCATGGGATTAAGACGCGGGAACGGTCTTAAGTGCATTTATTGTGATTGGTTGATTGTACATGCATCATTCAGTCAAGAGGAAATGTCTGTTAGTTTCGTGGAAACTAGTGGCTTGTCCAAAACCTAGAAGGGTGGGTTTGAAGCCTAGGGGACGGGCTTGGATGTTATCGGTCTAGAAGGGTGGACCCGGTTTAAAGTAAAAACCGAAAAATGATAACGAGTTATCGGTCTAGAAGGGTGGACCCGGTTTAGAGTGAAAACCGAAAAAAAGATAACGAGAGTCGGTACCGCATTGCATGAGTTGCATTGAGTTGTTGAGTCACATTGATATATGGCATATGCATGAAGGGATGCTTATGTGTGAATGATGAGATTGTGGAAATTGTAAGTGTATGCATAATGTGGGAATGCTTTGTGAATATCCATGTTTGTCTATATATGTGTGGTAAATATATATGACTAAGAGAATGAAGTGTGGTGAGAAATGTGAATATGTGTTATATGACCACCTATATATATATATATATATATATATATATATATATATATATATATATATATATATATATATATATATATATATATATATATATATATATATATATATATATATATATATATATATATATATATATATATATATATATATATATATATATATATATATATATATATATAATCTTATGCTCTGATTATTATGGTTATATTTCTCACCCTTCTGCTGTTTTATAATGCTCTATGAGGCATTGCAGATTAGGATGCTGGAGTCCTTTTGTGAAGAATAGTCTTCATTCTTTTGAGTCTGCTGCTCTGATATGTAACACCGGGTAGTTAGACTAGTATAGTCATTCTTTTGTGATACATTGCGATGTGTCAGCTTATGTGGTTTTGTAAATCTAACTGATATGATATATTAATTTGGATAGCTTATGTGTACGTGAATTAATATTTTGAAAACGATCAAATGATTTTATCTTCCGCTTAAATTGAAAATGTTACATATTTTATGGGGCAAGTGTTTCATTGGTAAAGTTGTGACATTCTTATTTTATACCTTATTCTAAAACTTTTACTCTGATGAATTTGTATATGCTTAAATGTTTAATATGCATTTATTTGGGGTATAGAAGGGGGTGTTACAATAGTGGTATCAGAGCAGGTCGGTCCGTCCGGCCAAGTTGTTAGAGTGTTTTTCCCTGTGTGTTATTGATATGCGTGTGATGCATTATCAATATTGGTTGTTCTTACGTAGTTCTGTTGTTGGAATTAGTAAGATGGTTGCAGGGAGGAAC